AATTCATCAGCAGCAGAACTCTATCAGGAAACACTGTGAAGCTTGAGAGCAGGCAAAGGCCAAACCAGTTCCATGTGTCCTATTACAACAGCAGCATTGTAGTTCTGCTCAGACTTGTGTTCTTGTTTTGCCTTTTAACTCAAAGACTTTAATTCATGAGCCTAAACATCGGCCAGCTCACTTTGTACCACCGTTACATAACTAATTTTAAACCACCCCAACCTCGTTTGAACCTTCATTGTCATGTTAAATTACAGTAACTCTGCCTCATTCTTATGACGTCTGAAAAATGAATCACAAAGTGGTCACTTGTTCCACTTTCCACTGAAAAGGGAGGACATCTGGGCAGCGCAGTGTACTAAAACAGAACTCACATGCAACCCTAAACACACACTGGCAAACACACATTTATATTATACGGTATCTCCTCATAGCAATAGCTGTACCCACTAGATTAAACAAACTACCATCCTCTCTACATTGCTGACATTCATTCCTACTGAGGGAATCCCTGGGTAGCCGAAGATGCCGGAGCGAGACATAAACTGTACCGTCTGGCTCCTAACAGGATGTCAAAATACAGACAGAGACTCCACACTGGGGCTTTAAACTCATCTTACAGCTGATGAGAAGAAGTGATGCACTCATGAAGAGATCTCTGCACTTATTAGGCAGTTGCAGAAGGAGATGTCGCCGCTCTTTCATCACAGTCTTTTTATAGGTTTTTTGTCTTTTCTGCCGTCTCCCTGTTTTCACCAACTTTTCCACTTTTTCTCAGCATACTTTCCTATTCCCTCAGCCATTTGTCACTGCTCCTGTCTCCTTTTCCTTACAGTAACCAGTAAATCCATTGAGACTACCGCAGAGCTGACACCCCATCAATTGGTACAACTTATCTCCGGCCTGCCACCAAAATGCTTCAGCGTCTACCATGCGGCAATCAATGCAAGCTCAGCACGCAGGAAAAAGCACGGTCTGCGAAACCCCGGACACAAGCAAATTCGCACGTAGCCGCATCCTCGTACACATGCTCACCGACAGTCACCAAGATGAAATTATGCATGTGCTGTGGAAGCTGATGACTGCCTTTGGTGATTTTTCCCTGATACGTTACTTTTTTCTGAGTCCCTCCCCGTCTCTCCTCCATCACAGTCTGAACTCTTTACAAAGCAACTCCAGTCATCGTCTCCCTAATGAATCATGTTCCCTCTCCCACATCTTCCTCCTCTGTTCACATTAATCTGCTCTTCTCTTGAAATGAAAAATTCCCTCCGAAAACTCCCACGCTCTTTCTTAAATACTGAACTGAATCTCTGTGATCTAGGAACTGAAACTGGATTGTTGACTAAAAAAAAAAAATAAAAGAAGGTGTATTTTGAGAGACAGAAATACAGAAGATGTATGACAACACACACACACACACACACACACATGTATTTGTCTGCTGCTAAGTTCTTGTACTTCTTTCATGCCTGTCGTGACACCTTAAAATCCATGGTGCCCTAAAGGAAGACCATTAGTGCTACAGTGATTGAGCACTCCTTTACGGACAGCAACGCGAAACCTATTCGTCTCTCTCTCACACATGTATGGATGCGCACATACACACAGGAGGCCTTGGCGGTGCAATCCATAAACCTGTCTGGGGTTGCAGTATATCCAGGTGGCAGATTCACAACCCCAGCAGTAATGAAACTGAATCAAAGTCTGCCTGAATATGACGCACCGCCGCTGCCTAACTCATCGAACCTCCAAACCGCTTGCACAAGTGTGATGAAACGTGTCGTGCCCACACGAGTCTAACACAACCCGAGAATTTTTTTTTTTTTACATTTCCACGTGACGCAATGACGTCTACAAAATCCCAGATTTTCACTGGTCTCGCTGGATGGTTTCGCACACCTTGGAGACAATAAAGAGCTAAGAGTTCTTTGCAGAGCTTTACGGATGAGTCAATTTATTAATCAGTTAATCCACAGAACATCACGTAAAAACAATTTTAATAACTAAGTAACCGTTGTTTTAACCCCAAAACATGCTGGTGGGATTAAAAGGCATGTTGTATTTTAGAAATTGCCAAAATTACAACACTTATTAGACCCAGATTCTGTAAAAACTGTGTGAATGGTTGGATTTTCAACTTTGCGACAGTCTTTAAACTACTAAAAAGTGACGTTGCATTCCGTTTGAAACCAAAAGCCAACCTCAAAATTAGGAGTTAATCATAAATAACTGCATTCTACAAGTCTCAGTTAAGAATTTGCCCAAAATAAACTGTTTGCTCAAAAGAGATTATGTAATTAACAAAAAATTCTGCCCTTCACAGCGAAGCTAGGTAGTCATTTATGACTAAGCCGCAACCAGCTTAAACTGGGCTGAACTGCAGACTCTGTTTACACAGAGCAGATACAAGACAGTTATGGAAACATATTAAAAAGGGTAGTAAAATATCTACAGTATGTAGAGTCACTTCTTTTTTCCAGTATTGTTTTTGTATTGGTAGCACTTGGAACAATATTGTACATGTTGGTTCCAGGTTTTTTCTTTTTTTTTTAAATTAACCATTCAAGGATTTTCACTTTTTTTTCTTTCTTTTTTTAAGATTTAAAGCATCAAGTTTTGTCATACTGAACAAAATACATTTTTGAGTTTTCTCCATTTCTATTCGTGGTTTTGCTGATTCCATAGAAGTGCAGCCCACACTGAGCAATAATGTGACAGGAGTAAGGCCAGAAACTTCCAGGGGTTCAGAGGGTCAAAAAACAGAACTATAGCCATGCTAGCAGCCCTGCAGGATTGTATTTAGACTAAATGCTAACTTTATGCTAAAATACTGCCCGTGTTTAGCAGGTTATGCTACCATGTTAGCCTTCTTAGCCAAATGTGTTGCTAATTAGCGCTAAATAAAGAGTACAGCTGAGGATGATGGGAAAGCCACAAGTTCTCCAGGTGTGTTGTCAGAAACCAAACATTGACCTGATGATGGCGATAACGACTGTCAATCCATCCATGAAGTATTGCGATAAACTACATCCACATATAAAACTATTTGTTCATCATCCATCGCTTTGTAGTTGACAGTTGACGATCCGGGCTCTGGTTGCCGAGGTAACCCTGTCGTACATTTGCCATCCATCACGTCGGTGAAACTGGCTAGCCCACACTTCAAAAGTGACAATTTACCCACATTTAATTTCTTTTAGTTGGCACATATCACAGTTGATCAAAGAGAGTTTATCGAGATCAAAGCTTTCTGGAGACAGCGATGATGAGCTGCTCTTCACTCTGATGTGGTTACAGACGTGGGAACCAAAACCTGCTCGTACGTCGCCGTGTTTCAGTCTGAACAAAAGTTTCCGAGCCACTGACTCGCTCGTCCATTTCATCCTGCTTCACATTATTGCAAATTCTAATTAAGTTTTGGACTCTTGAGCAAGTAGCTTTGTTAAATTTAATCTACATTACTGCTACATTAACTTTGTGACACATAGATGCACAGGTACTTTATTCTCTCTCTACCTGTGGTGCTGACTGCAATTTTTTTCAAGCAAAGTGGAAAGCATGGAGCTGTCCCAGGACATTTGACAGGGGAAAGTGCACCCATACAAGCCTGCACACACACACACACACACACACACACACACACATGACTGCAAACGCCAACAGAATGATGCTGAGAAACATCCCTGTTGTTCTCAGATTGCAACCAGAAAAAAAAAAAGGCAGATAATGAAGGGACTGAAGGAAAAGAAATTTTAAAACGGTACCTTGAAAAAAGAGATAAAAAGGGGGACTAAGCAGACAGAGGCTGTGACAGAGGACGGCTTTATGGATCTGTGTGAAATAAAGAGAGCGAAAGGGAACACAAACAATGGAAGTGATGGAGGGAGAGAGCGAGAGTGAGAGAGGTCAGCAGCTGACAAAACAAAAGGATAAAGTCAGAAAGGAGAGCTGCTATCTCTCTATCCCAGGATGGACCACACAAATACACCCTCCCACCCCAATCCATAGACTAAACACAACGCTGTGAGAAAGAGCTACTGCATGCGGCGTGGAGCAAGCAGTCAGATTAGAGGTAACATATAGACAAACAGTGTGTTTAAAAATAGAAAGCAGGATCTATCCTATTATTGTGTGTGAGAGGGAGAAATCCGGGGGTAGCTTATCCTACAACTCTCAAATCTGTCTCTCCCAAACAAAAGCAGACACACACACACACACACACACACACACACACACCAGGGGTATCCCAGCTGAGGCCTCGAGACCATTAAGAGAATTAAAGGCGACACAAGATGAGCAAGAAAGGGGGGGACAGACGGAGGGGAGGGGACGGCAGCATCCACGGGAGAAGAAAACGCAAAGAGTGCATCGTTGAAAGGTTACCAGCAGCAGCAGCAGCAGTGCGTGGGTTCCTCTGGTCTAATGTAAACATATTGAAAAATGAATCACTCTCACACCTACTTTTAACCCTCAGGCGTGGATTGTACACCACTGTTAACTGTCACAGAGATCAGTGCATCACACACACAGCTGTAGGGCGAACTCTGATTCCTCCACAAGTCCACACACACACTCCTGAAATAGTAACAATCTCTTTCCTTGAGATGTTCCAGTGATGACACACTACACCTTGTAGACAACAGAACGGATCAAGCTGCTTACAGTGAATCTCCAGTGAGCGTTCAGCCCGAGTCCATGTTCAAAATCCGAGCGGCGGCTGAAACACAGCTAAAGTCCTCCAGCTGGTCGCCGGCACCGAGAAAACCCCGAGCAGACAGGAGGAAGATGAGACCAGCAGCCGGCAAGTCTGACTGAAACAGAATGAGAGAGACTCCCTCTTTCCTCAGAGAGGTGCCCGCCTCTTGCTCTCTCTCTCCCTCCCTCCTGCCTGCCTTGTTCCCTCCCTCTTTTCCCTCCCTGGAGCTTATCTGTCCTGAGGCTATCACTTCTTCCTCAACCCCCCCCCCTCCACCTCCATCTACCTTCCCCCAACTCACTTGTGCTCCAACTCCGGTGAGTGTTTCCAAGGCAGCACCGTCACGACGTTCTCCGCTGACAAGTCGCAGCTCCGGACAGACTTTCAGCCCCACTCCAGTTTCAGTTCCACTTCAGCCTTTCAGAGAGAGAGAGAGAGAGAGAGAGAGAGAGAGAGAGAGAGACATGAAGGCCTGAAAGCCGATCCCCTCTGATCTCATCAAGCAAAGTTACCAACAGCAACCAGACCAGCAGGCAGCTGAGAGAAACACCCGGTTCACCTCCCTCCCCTCCCCTCTGTGACTCCCCCCTTCTTACAAAGAGCTCACACAGAGCCAACCAACCAAACCGACCCACCCCTCCCCCGTCTGCTACAGGCCCACACCAACACACATGTCCGCATACACACACACAACCCTACACGTGCCACAAACACACTGCACGAGTGGCGCATGTGCACGCTTTGGGCATCAAGGTGAGAAAGGCCGGTCACGTCCCATGTGCAGTAAATGTAAAGTCACACATTATAAACACTACCTATGAATGATATTTAGTTTTTAAAAAAAGGGATAAATTACATTTAGTTTGTTTTTTTTTGTTTTTTTTACAGATTATTCCTGCAGAGTACAAAGTGTTCCAATATCTACTTTCTTCAAGTAACACATTATATTCAGTTCTGTCTGAGTGATGACCTGCTCTCTTTTGTTCTGCTCTACTGCTCTCTGTGCTGTCGGTTCCTTCCTGTTGTCGCTTTGTACATCTGCCCACAACTGCACATTACTGCATAACTTGGCTCTGAGGTGATATGATGACTAAGTTGATTTATCATCCTTTTCCCGCAGCCACATCAGTCATTCACAAAGTCGGGGAAGTGAGGACAGCCGTCGGAAGAGCAAAATGCACGACCCAAAACAGATCACACATACGTGTGCTCCTCACACACTGTCTCTTTGACTACTAGAACTTTTCCTCTCTGCAAACATGCATACTCACACATACATATTAACACACAAAGAGTGAGACTGACTACACTATTCACACCATTTAACTAAATGCATGGTTGCAAGATAAAAACATCTAATTTGCTGATTTAGACAAACCTTTAAGTTGCAAACAATATTTTGATGGATTAGGTTGACATAATAATGTGGGAAACTGCATCAACTTATTATTGTGTGTAAACTAGACTCAAATTTCTGCATTAGTTTATTTAAAACTAACCACAAGTTGAGGTAACTCAAGAAAATGAGCTTGATAACTTTTCTTCACCTTAAAATCATGACTCAGCAGAACAAGGATTAAAAATTAACAGTTTGCATCAACCTAGTTGAGTTATGACAACTTCGAATTAAATTATGTTTAACTAACAAACTACAATGAGTCCGTGGAATAAGCTTTACAATCAAAGGTAGTTTTAATGACCACTTTCTTCATGACTGGTAGCATGAAGACCATATGTAAAAAACAATTAAATAAAGAGAAGTGTGTGTTGTGAGTGTTATGTGCTAAATTACTATAATTATGAACACAAGATTTTGGGTTGGCAAATACAAAATAAGTTAAGTAGGTAGGGGAAGGGACTTGAAATCCTGACCTCAAGGGGGAAGAAAAATGGAGTCATCAACCTGAATTTGCACAGACATTCAACTTTTGACTTACACACAATATCAGGCTGATGAAATTATTAACATTATTATGACAATAAAACCCATTAAAATCATGTTTGCAACTCAGAAACATTATGAATCAGTGAATCTGAATTTTTTATTTTTTTTATATCTTGCAACCACGCATTTAATTAAGCCATGCGAATAGGTTAAAGAACTTTTGTAGAGTAGCAGTGGAGCAACTTCACTTGAAACCTGAGCTCATAATTATGACAATTTAGTGCATAACACTTTAAAAAATCATTTCAAAACACATGAAAACACAATTTAGAACAACCTAATTTTATGAGAAAACTTGACGTATTCCTTCTACCAATCATTAGCTCAGTGGTAATGAAAAATGTCTTTTAATTGCAGAGGAAAGCTACTCAACTCGATGTAGTTTGCTGGTTAAACACAATTCCTGTAAAAGTCATGTGAACTTAAAAAGACTGATTCAAACCCCTGCGCTCATATTTTTGTTGCCCAAACATTATTTTTAGACTGTCGACGATCGTGCAGGACTGAGGCTCAGTCAGCTCGCTTCCTCTATGAACTTCCTTTTCCCAGGACTGCTGTGACCACCAGGGAACCGAACACCACCCGCTATATCATTACCACATCGTTACATCACGCGGCGGCTCAGACATTCAAACATGTAGCGAGGGAGAGCTGTGGGACAGTAAATCATGGTTTGTCCGACTTTTGTTCTCAGACGTCTGCACTCAGCAGTGAGGATACATTTAATTAGGAGCTGGTGCAATTTTAGGATGTATGGTAGTCCATCTACCACACGCACATATCACACGCTTACATGAATATTTCAACATTTGGGGAATATAGTTTTGCCTTCCTGTGTGGAGTTACATGAGGATTACACAGCCAGGTTAGCTTACATTTGGACTACTTCAGAGCTAGATTGTGGAAAAGTGCCTAAAAATGATATTTTATCTTTAAACGGGGGTTGTGCCTCAAACTATTTCTCCACTATGTCTAGTTATTCTTTGGTGTCTGCAAGTCGTCATGCAAGCGTCTGGCACAGAATCGGCAAGAAAACAGCAAACTGACACTTTCACACTTTGGGTTTTTACATAAATCAAACAAGATATATCATCTTAATTAGTGAGCTTTTGGGGAGATGGTAGGCCGATTTTGTCATTTAAAAGAGTCAGAATAGTCTTTTCCAGTCTTTGTAGGAGGCAAAGCTAATTGGCTCCTGGCTGTGGCTTTGTATTTAATGAGAGTGGTTTAGATCTTCACATTTAACTTAGGGCTAGCATGTAAGCATACTTCCCAAAATATATAACTTTCAGTCTGTGTAACTGGCCTATATTTGAAAACACTAGGATACTGCAAGTAAAAATAAAAAAAGGCATGTCATAAAGTCTGGAAAACAGTAATCATACACTGTATTTCTAGACTTATTTACGCGCCCATTTTTACCAGTTTTGACTACGACAGTTCATAAATATTCAGCACATGTGCTCAGAAACACACACACACACACACACAAAGCATGTACACATCAAAGCCAGTCAACTGGCCTCATTCAGACAGTGAGGTGGAAAAGAGGAAATGTACAGATCTGTATAAACACACACTGGCGGCTATGGATCACCTGAATTAGACGTATGGGTTAGACGCTTCCCCTTTGCCTCCCACACACACACACAGACTTCATACATGTGCAGACTTTCTTACTGACTTGCCATTCTTCTAGACACCGGCCAATGTAGGTCAATGGTTTTGAATGTAAGCAGCCACTGTAGGTTTAAGGTAATATACACACAGGTAGGGAGGAAGGAGCCGTTTGAACTGTGGTTAGAAATCTAGCAAAGAATCTGAGCCTCAGTGTGCACAAAAGCCGTGCTTGCTGTGAGGCCAAGTTCTGGTTTGGGGAAACATTTAACTGACGATGTTGCCTGAAATACAGATTTAGTTAAAAAGCGATGCCTTACTTTGTTTTTAGGCCATTGTGCACACACAAAGAAGATGAAACTCTTGGTCGCTTAATTGCTGTAATCCTGTCACTCCTGTTTTTAATCCTGCTTGCTGAAAAAAAAAAATCCAGCAATTATTCCACAAAAACAAATGAAGTGTTGCTCCTTTTCAGATCCTACAAGAGGACGGCAGAAGTCTGGATTTGTAATATGACCAAGAGACACAACTTGGTGATGCTGCACTCACAGTCAAGGATCAGCTTGAAAGACGGGACAGGACCGGGTGAACTTTCAAGTATATGACTGTATCTTGTTTAATTTACACTTTAATTTGCATATAAAATACAAACCCCACAAACTCAGCCTCCTAATTCTGCTGAGGCTTTTCCGGGTTTTAGTTTCGGGAGGCTTTGCTCCAAGCCAGTGATCACCAAAATTGATTGTGTTGTCACAGCAGTAACATGCAAACTGCAGTCTGCGAATGTGTGTTGCCTAATGAAGCTGCACTAGGTGGAAAAGATAAAAAAAAAATCTCAATTTATTTTACTGTATATACGGTATTGATTTGTTTCATGTATTTAGCTGTAGAAGCCATAATCCTCAATCCTACATTTGTTTTAATTGCGCCATTTTCTGCATCTCCGTTTTTTGTATCATTTCATGTCACTGTGTATATTGTTAGGACACTCCAGTGAAATAAAACCTCCCTCTACTCACTAATAAAGGGCTTCAGACTCACGTATATGATGCTGAATAAGAAACCAGAGATACAGTTTGACATTCAAGCTTCAAACTGACGACGGTGATACATCCCCCATCTTCTCTACTGGACCCTGTCGTAAATTGCCCCCTGATTTTCTGCCTCAAGGCACATCCACACTTAAGGGACCCCATGGGGTCTGAGGGCCATGTGTGTGTCTGTGTGTGTGTGTGTGTGTGGGTCTGTGTGTGTGTGGGGAAGCTAATCTGCAGGACAATGGGGGCCCTGTCCTCACCCCACACACAGGGAATTAGGACTGGAGGCCTCACAGCTGAGCATCTTACTGACAATAGAAACTGGAAGTGTGTGTTCATGTGCATTTGCGGCTGTGAGTGTGTGTGTGTGTCCTGCAAACACACGTGTCAAACACAAAGCCTTCCAACTGTCCACAGCGCCCAGGGGACAGAGATTGACAGAGGGGGCGGGATGGACGGACGGACGGACGGATGGATGGATGGTAGATGGGTAGATGGATGAAAGTGGAAATGTGAAGTAAAGAAAAAAGGACATGGGAGGAACAGGGGTCTGAAACATGCTGCCTCAGGGTGAAGGGTGAGGACAGTTAGATGGAAGGGGAGAACGCGGAGGAGGGTAAAAAAAAAAAGTAGAATTACTGTGGACAGATGGCTGAGAGAAAAAAAAAAACGACAGTAGCCAGTTTGGACGAGGTAATAAAAAAAAAAAAAGTGGGATGATACGAGGACACATTATCTTATTTTGTGGCCAAATAATCAGCTGTTGTTTTCACATTTGGATCCACACAGACAACCATGAGTGCAGCATATAACCCCCT